CCAACATGGGCCAGTGAAGCAACGTCCTCCACAACTAGACTGAAGAACAAAAGGACAGCAACTTGTCTGTTCCCCTTCCCAATTCCCCAATAAAAAAATCTAAAAAAAAAAAAAAAAAAGAACTTGAAGTTGATGTGAACTTTAATTCTTGCTCCATCTAATGGCAAGGAATATTTGCTATAGAGTATGATGAATAATGAAATTGCTTACTGCAGAGGCTTTCTATTTTGCCACACCTAGAGTACAAAGTATATTTTACATTAGGATCCAATGCACACATACTGTTTCATGAAACAATAATTACCCTCACTACATGTGATGCACTCTGATACTCTGTATTCTAATGTCTTTTAATACTACTAAAATCTACTAAGTTGATTTCATAGCTAATTAATGATTCATGGCTCATGATTTTAAAACACTGAACTATAGAAAACAAAAATATGTAAGGCAATCTCTGATTATAAGAAGTGTCCTTAGGTCATTCTCTGAAGCATTTGAGATCTTGCTCCCTGGCATATGTCATCAGTTTGGCTCAAATAAACTCTTAGAAAGAAAAAAAAGGGGCGGGGGAAGTGGGTGGGTGGCTCAGTTGGTTAGAGCGCGTGCTCTGAACAACAAGGTTGCCAGTTCGATTCCCACATGGGCCAGTGAGCTGCACCCTCCACAACTAGATTGAAGGACAATGACTTGACTTGGAGTTGATGGGTCCTGGAAAAAACATACTGTTACCCAATAAAAAAATTTAAAAAAAGAAAGAAAGAAGAAGTGTCCTTTAAGAAGCCTTAGCTTGGAGGTACAAATAGGTACAAAAAGCCGACGTCTACAAGTCAATGTCCATAGGTTAAACTTTATTCTGGTATGTTAGTTTGCCTACCCTAATATTCAAATATTTTCCCACATATTCTTTGGGCCAATATCACAGGCTTGCTGTTTCCAACTCTTTGGTAGGTTGAAAAATGTCCTCCAAAAATATCAGGTCCTAATCCCTGAAACTTGTGCTACAATATATAAGGGGCCTTTGAACACATGAATAAATTAAGGATCTTGAGATGGGGAGATTATCACGGATTACTATATCTATCTCTGTCCCTGTAAGAGGGAGGCATTAGGAAATCTGACACACATAAGAGGAGAAGGTGATGTGAAGAGGGGGCAGAGACATTTGAAAATGCTAGCCTTGAAGATTGGAGTGATGTGGCCACAAGTCAATGAATGCTGGCAATAACCGGAAGCTGGAAGAGTCCAAGGACTTATTTTACTCTAGAATCTCTGCAGGGAGCATGGCCCAGTCAACACCTTCATTTTGGCCCAGTGATACTGATTTTGGACTTCTGGCCTCCAGAACTGTGAGAGAATAAAGTTCTTATATTTTAAACCACCATGTTTGTGGTATTTTTGTTACAGCAGGCTCAGGAAACTATTGTGTTGTTGGAAAAGTCATGACGCATTTTTGCAACGAAAAACATAGAAAAAATAAGTCATGACTTTTCTGACAACCCAATAATATGAACCTCATGAACTTGACTTAATGAGGTTCATAGTGCAAAGTGCTCAGAGCACGTGGCCACCTGTAATTCTTTCTACCTTGCTATGTTTCAAGAAAGAGTTATGGTAGCTCCTAGAGATTCACAAAGCATACCGATAACACAAATAATAACTAGGTGAAAAGGGAAAAACCAACAACAGATATACAAAATAGAGCCAACGATAATGTTTATGCAAATATACATATAACAGTTCTTGCCATGAGTCCACTGCAAATTTGGCTTCAAATTTTCTAACAGCTAGCATTAAAAGGAAGCCTCCTTGTTTACATGATTCAGTGGCCATTAGATAAAAACAAGCCAACTCCACAGAAACACAAAAACCAAGGTGAAATTTCTACCTAGAACATGTTTTTTGGACTGAACTCTGCAAAAAATGATGAGGGATACTCACTACGCCATGTGTAAATTTAAGGGTAGTAAACCTCTTACACCAGACCCAAGTTCGTATGACTATTTACTATATAATAGATTGATAACATCAAAACTTAAGTTGATAAAAGCAAATTCTATAGCATAGATTGATAACATATCAAAACATAACAAAATTCTGTAGGAGGAAAGAGGGGGTCAGTAGAATACCCTCTAGGTATATGGTTCGCGGCTGATTTGCTTATCTCTAGGGTACATTTTAGATTATTTCATACAATGCCTGTGGGATGTGGCTTCTTGAGAGCAGATTTAGTATAAAGTGAAATATGTATTGTGGTTCTACCATCCGCCAAGCAGGGCCTAGGCAACTACTGAGACATTAGATAAATATCCCTTCCCTACTTCCTGAAGAAGCTTCCAGGCCAGTGGGCGAGAGGGACACAGTGTGCTCTAAATAGTGTCCCTAAATCAGCAAAAGGGCATCAAGACGGGCCTCCCGGAGGTGATAATGACTATTAGAGGATGAGTAGAAAGGCAGAAGGAAACGGGAATGGCACCGCAGGTGGGTCAGAAGACTTCAGCCTCTAGAGCAGCGGTTCTCAACCTGTGAGCCGCGACCCCTTTGGGGTTCGAACAACCCTTTCACAGGGGTCGCCTAAGACCATCGGAAAACAAAAAGATATTTACATGACGATTCATAACAGTAGCAAAATTACAGTTATAGAGTAGCAATGAAAATAATTTTATGGTTGGGGGTCACCACAACATGAGGAACTGTATTAAGGGGTCGCAGCATTAGGAAGGTGGAGAACCGCTGCTCTAGAGTCAAGCAATTCCCTTGAACTTGTCAAGGTCTAAGCTAGATGAAAAAAAGGCCAAAAAAATCCTAGAAAGAACCGGTTAAGAGGCAAAAAAAAAAAAAAAAGTGCATTTTATCCTCCGTCACACGACACACAATTGGCCAGTGCTTCAGAAATGTGGGGGGCAGCTGTGTAGCCATTTCCAACAAAATACAGTTTAGCAAACCTACAGGACCTTCCAGGAAAGCCAGGCCTTTCTATCACCGGAACCACGAGCTCTCGAGTCCTTGGCACCCCCGGAGTCACTAGTTTCACTGCGCAGGCGCCAGGTATGGCGCTCGTAGTTCCGGGTTTTCCACTAGGGTTCCCCTCTAGCCGCCACACTTGCGTTTCTCTACTGCTCTCCGCCGCTGTTACTGACAAGGCTTGGAGCCTGGTTGGGGGCGGGCCTTCCGGCAAAGGGGGCCGGCGGGAGAGGAAGGTCAGGACGAGGTAAGGATGTCCGTGACTTTTGGGGGTCTGTAGTGAGATGTGGGCGACGGCTGTAGAGAATCCTGCGGAGGTTTACAACCTTGTAAAGTCGCCAAGAACAGAACGAGTCAGTTTAAATATTAACCAGCTCGGAGGTTTCGCAGGCATCATACAAACAAGTTGGCCTTTTCCTGCGTAAATTGGGGGACTAACCACATGAAGGATGCTAGCGTAGCTTTCTCTCGGGCGCTTGCTACTCTCTAACTGATAAGCTAGATTGCAAGGCTCAGTTTACCTCTGCTCGTCAGACGGCCTTAGCTGCATGTGGGGCATGTGGATTAATTTTGTTGCCAGCTTAAGGAAAATATAATGAAGTGATATTTAAGAAAAATATTAGCGGAATAGCCTGCCGATTCAAACGTCGGTTGACGCTATTCATCACAGGCAGTCGTGAGCCAGTCACTTGGAGGGGTTTGGGGATTTTCTTGTTGAACTGAATAAAGCTGATATATAGTCGGAGCCATTCATGTCACTACGGGCCAGTAAAATCATCGGTACCGGGCTTTAAAAATGGTAAAGCATGGGGTTTTTTAAAAATTGTTTTTCTGTGAAACACGTGTGTGCAGTGTGTGTGTGTGTGTGTGTGTGTGTGAGTTCCTTGAGGCCTGATTATGTAGGGCAGGCACTGTGCCATGAGTTTTGCATTGTCAGCCTCACAACGCAGGCGGTAGTCTAACTGTCCTCAGGTAATAGATGATGAAAACGGAGGCAAAGCATACAGTACGTACAACTACAAACACGGTACGGCCATTAAAACGCAGAGGCAAGATTCCAGCCAGCTTTCTACTCCAAACCTGGGGTTCTCCACAGCATACATTTTTTTAAATTAGTTTCAGGTGTACAACACAGTGCAATAGTTATACTTTTACCCCTCAAAGGGACAACCCCCCTCCCCCAATTTGCCACCCCACTCCCTCCCCATATCATATATATTTACTACAGTTCCATTGACTCCACTCCCACACTATACTCCATGTCCCATGACTATACATATATTCAATTATAGTTGACATACAATATTATACAACATCAGCTTCAGGTGTACAGTGCAGTGATCAAGCCTCTACCCCATCCATGATGAGGTCTCCCTAGCAAGACATGTGACCATCTGACTCCCTACAAAATATTTACATTGTTAATTATATTCCCTGAACTGTCTTTCATATCAATGTGCCAATATTGTAGTTACTTATTTACAGCATACACTTTTGAAGTTTTGGATTCACCACACTTGAGGGATATCCAGGCTAAGAATGCCTGCACATGATCTACATGTTTCAAAGAAAAAAGGCAAACCTAATCCAAAGCCAATCTTGAGATAAACCTGACCTTTTAATGCATCAGACCTATTAGAAAAATCAAAGAAACTTGCCCTTTTATGCCAAAGTAAAAGTATGGGAATTTTCTTATGTGGGCTTAACATGTTTTGCTTCAACACATTTGAGTAATTTGTTTGTGCTTAGCATTTTCAATTCCAGTTAATTTTACTTCATGATACTGTTTTCTTTAGTTCATATTTAAAGAAAAGTGATATAATTGTACTCCTTAGAATGGCTTCATGTGAATGAAAATCTTGATATCTAAATTATTATTTACCTTTTACTTCAATGCTTTTAACAGGGGCATAATTTTGTAAAGATAAAATTGAAAGAATCTATAAAAAGGCATACCAGGGTCCCAAAATGTCCTAAATAAGTCTTTTAAATTTTTTAAAAATTTAAAGCTAGTAAAAACTGGCAATTTGCCAGTTGTAGGACCAATATTTATGGACAGAACTTTTTAGCTGTATTAGCCTATGTAGAATATATATATATATATATATATATATATATATATATATACCAAACTCCTTTGCCATTCTTCATTAGAGACATACGTATATGTTGCTTTATGAAAGGAGACTACAAAGCAGTAGTTGGTAATTATAACCATTTTCCACTTCCTTCTATTTAGCAAATGGTTCTTTGTTTCTAGTAAGGGATCCAGGTTTGAAGAGGCTTTCTCCCTTTTGCCAACGTAAATGTTATAGGACTTGGATTTTGTGATATAACCATGTTCCAGTACATTCTAATGAGACCTTATGATGTACGAGCTATGTGTCCCAGTAATTAGCTGCATTCCAAAGTGGGTATGGAGGTAGCATCCTGTGATGGTGTTAGTGACCACTGTCTAGGGAGTCCCTTGCTCCTTGCTACCTGTCAGTTACCAAGCTACTGGTCCCCTCCCCTATTACAAACAGGTTTAAGGTTTGGGGTTTTTTGGGGTTTGTTTGTTTTTTTATGTGTCATTTACTGAGTGCCACTGTCTTATTTCTCACAATAGTCCTGCAAGCTTGGTTTCCTAAGAGGAAACTCAGATTTGGAGACAACAGGTCCCGATTAACCCAGGTAGTATTTCCTAAACTACCTTACAAATAACTGATTGTGGAAATACTACACAATTGCAACAGAAATCTGTTCTGATGCCATAATAGCAATTAAGCAAAACAAAGTAAAAGCTGATTAAGAAACTGTTTTTAGTGTGTTTTATTTTAACTAACGGTTGGAAAAATTTAACTTTAAAGGGAGGCAGAGAAAAGATAAAGCATGCAAAGAAACTTTTTGTAGCTTCTGACATTTGCAAAGCCTTTAAATTACTAATTTGTTGCAATTTACTATTTATACATTTAACTGTTAATGACTTTTTTTCTCATTGATGCAAATACAACCCCAATTCATCCCCATCCACATAATGGAACAAGAGTTGGGAGGGAGGTGAAGCTGGGAACTGAGCACCCTAAAAGGAAAAGGAAAAAGACGGGGTGGGGAAAGGGGGACCAAGAGACCCTGGATCTGACAGTTCTCCCATTGCTGGCCTTCAGGTGGCAGTATTGGCCCAAGATTGCTTGGTTTCAGAATGGTAAAAGGTTTGAGATTGACAATTCTGAAACTGGTTTGAGGTCAGCCTCGGCTCTTTCAGTGGGTCTTGAAATAACACAAAACATTCCTTAATTTAAACACTGGTTTGGTTTTGGTTTTTCTCTTGCAAGAGCTATTTTGAAATTTACTTGGCACCAGTGGTCTTTTGTATATTTCTCCCACTGGTTTTTAAAGATAGGTTTATGCCTTTTTTCTGTTTGGAAATCAACTTTTCATCCCAGCTGAACTATCCCCCAAGATGGTCTCTTAGCAAAGATTATCATCTCACTACAAAAATTTCACATAAATGATCGTAGTCTGCCAACAGTAACCCCTACATCTGAACTGGAACGGGATGAGATAGGGTTAACTCCATCAGCAACATTCTTGACTTTTATGTATCACCTATATAATTTTTTATATATATTATACATCTTCATATTACAGATATCATTCTTATACCAATTTCAACATTGTATGCCTCTGAAGAAAAAAGTTACTGTTTTCAGCTCATAAGAACTTAGCTAGTTTGCATTAAAGCGCAATATATAACATGAAAGATAAGACGAGTAACATCACAATTCCTAAGTGCCTTCTATTCAGGAATAAAATGAATTTTGTGAGCTGTTGAGCTTGTTTCTATAAGACTACTATCTCTGTTTGTTTTTCCCAAATGGTTCTCCATCTCTAGGCAGAATTCAATCCAGCAACCTAGAGGCTAAATGACCTCATAATTCATCAGCAGCTCTCAGCCATCTGGAGCCCTTGAGGAGAACAGGATTCAAAGGGCTGATGATAAATAAAGACAACAGCAAAATTATTTCTCTGCCATGATTAAACCTTTAGATGGCAAGCAGTCAGCATATTTATTCTGCAGATTGCTTACTTAGGTGGGTGTTTTCTGAAGGTATAATAACAACACTTTGGTAGGAAAGCTTGTTTCTCCTCATCTAGCCTACAAATAGGTAAACCGACTATAAGCAAATAACCTATCGAATCACAAAACAGTTCATTGTGAAAACGGCAGGACACGAGGAAGTAAACAGGAAATAGCCACTTGGACTGTGGATATTTCTCAATTCCAAGGCATGTCCTGCCCACACGTGGACGCATTCACGTATGACTTGTGTTTCCGTTTTCTAGCGTGTCCATTAGATAATCTGGGCGTTTCTTACACTAACCTGCTGCTCTTCTCATTGTTTGTAGTGACTGGTGCTCCTCGCTGCTCCAGAGATGTCCTCACTTTCAGAATATGCCTTGCGCATGTCGCGTCTGAGTGCCCGGCTGTTTGGTGAGGTTGCCAGGCCTACTAATTCCAAATCCATGAAAGTGGTGAAGCTGTTTAGTGAGCAGCCTTTGGCCAAGCGGAGGGAGACTTATGACTGGTACCCAAATCACAACACTTACTTCGCACTCATGGGGACACTGCGTTTTCTTGGCCTCTACAGGTAATGACAAAAAACAAACAGAGTGACCTGTAAGAGATTTTTTTTTTTTTAGATCAGAAAAGGAAAAATATTTTCCTTTCTATCTTTATGGGTTTGTGGCTCTCGTAATAGTGCCCAGGTAGTTCAAAAGGTACAGTTGGGGGAGGGGTGTGTGTGTGAAGGCTTTCAAAATAGCCATAATGGGTGTACCAAAGATAAAAGGAAACATGCACTTATTGGAAGACAAAATTGAATTATGTCTGAATTGTGACTTAACATTGGCTAGATACTGAGCTACAGAGAGATGCTTAAGTAGCCATTAATCTAAGAATTCCAAAGGGATGCAGAGGAAAATTGGTCCAAACCTGAGCAGGTTTGTGTTGGTCAGAGGGAGAGTGCCTGCCCCAGGGCCAGCTGGCTTCCTAGCTGGTGTGGGGGAGCTTCCTTTCTTTGCTGCTGGCAGTTTTGTTGTAGTTCTTCCTTCCTTCCACCCTCTGGCATTTTTACTTGGTACTCTTTTTGACATACTAATTTGGCCTAAATAGGTGGTAGTTCACCTTTAAGAGTAATATGTAAAGATAGTAGAATAGAACAATAATGTGTGATAGTGTTTGTGTGTGGGGGGGGAGTGGAGCTTAGGACTATATACTGCTCTAGAAAGAAAACAGATCAAATACCTAAGTGATCATTTTCTTAAAAAAAAAAAAAGACTTAATTACCAAATAATACATGCTCATTATAAAGGAATTTGAATAGTGCCTAATTGTATAAAGTTAAAATGTCTGCATATTTTTTTAACTTAACATGTTTTAATTGGACTTGTCTTAGAGCAATACAAAAATTAATTTGGGACTGTTCACTCTAATATAATAAATAGTTCTTTCCAGATAGCTAAAGATTGGTACATTTATTTATACAACAGATATTTTTTCAAGTACCTTCCATGTGTAGGCACTTAAGATGGTCACAAGGGGAGGAGTAGCAGTGAACAAAATAGATTTTTTTAGTTAGTATATTATTAGAGGTTATAACCCTAATATGACAGATTTTGAATTTCTGGAAATGCTTTTGGGGCAATTTCCCGTGCCACTCGTCTAGGCTAAGAAAATAAAAATTAATTTTTATTATGAGCCAAAAAAAAAAAAAAGACCACTGAAAGGCAGATCTCCTGAGTAGAAAATCATAACCCATAACAGAGTCACATTCAGCTATTTTAATGGACCTGTTTGCTGCCACTCTCCATTTGCTTGAAAAATAAAGCCTCGACTATCTTTGGGGACAGGGAAGAATACTTAGCGTTTAGTTATCCATGGAAAAGCACAATTATTTTCATAGTAAATGGTGCCTCGAACGCAAGGCCTCCTGGGGTATCAGGCAGGTTGAAACTAGACAATCTTTACTAAAGAAAATATTACTCAGAGCCCTGCAAAGGGGGCAGGCTCTCATTCAGTCTAGCAGGTGCTTGGGCTGTTGATCAACAGAGACAAAGCCCGCTGACTTTGGGGCTTTCTCTCTGGCTGGGGGTGGACAGGAATGGAGGGAGGGGGAGAAGAGGGGAAACAAACACAGTAAATAAGTAAATGCTGTGGTATGTTACCAAGTTGAACGGGCTATGGGAAGAAAGACAGTAGAGCCGGCTGAACAGGATCAAGGGATGCTGACAGGGCACGGGGTGGGCGGGGAGAGGACGGGTCCCAGCGTTAAACAGGACAGTCAGGGTCAGCCTGATGGAGAAGAGGAGGTTTAAGCTGAGACTTGAAGGTGGTGAGTGAGCCGAGCGGAAGAGCTTCCAAAGCAAAGACTAGAGCAGAGCAAAGGCCCTGAGGCAGACTGTGCACCTGGTGTGTTCAGGAGCTCCCGGGCCAAGGGGTGAGCTGTAGGGATGCAGGCAGGTCACGAAGGGCCCACGGGCCGTGGTAAGGACTTTGGCTTCTTCTCTGGGTGAAATGGGGAGCCATTTGCAGGGTCGTGAACAGAGGAGTAACAGGATGTGACTTATGTTTTAAAAGAATTACTCTGGCTGCTCAGTTGAGAATAGATTATTTGGGGCAATTGTAGTTAATCCCAAAGATGTCTGTTGTATCCATCATGTTCATACACTAAAAGAGCATACCCATCAAACCAGTCTATTTTAAAGCAGCCTTGGGATTTAAAAACTTGGGCCCAGCAGACCCCTTTGTTACATTGAATTCATATGCCATTATCATCCACACTTCACAGATGAGGAGACAAAGATGCAGAGAGGGACGGTCACTTATCTAAGGTCACACAGCTATTAAATGGCAGAGCTGTGATTTGAACCCAGGTTCCGATGGGTTCCAGAGTTTACATGTGTAAACAGCGTACTGCTCTTTAGGTATTTCATCTTGGCATGCAGACATTTTTACATACTGTAGGCAGCCTCCACCTTGTATCCCATCCACATGCATGTCTAGTCCTGGCTGCCCTGACCCCTAGAGCATCTGTCTTGATCTGGCTTCCATCTGCCTGAGCCTTTCCCGGCAGCCTTTTTGCGTTGATTATCCACTGCCATTAAGACAACTTCCTCCAGACCTCTCCCCCTTGTCGTAGATACTAGATGCTGGGGCTCTTGGGGTCTCAGTGTAGCTATTGAAGCTTATACACTTTCTGCTCCTCTCAGTGTTTTGGTGTTATAGGGACATTTGGGGTAATGATTAGTGTTGTATCATAGTTACATAGGTTTACATGTCTGGCTCAGAAGTAACTGCTATTTGTGACACTTTCTGTGAGGGGAAACTGTGACTTCGAAGTGAATTTTTGGAACACGACGTCTGTGTGTGTTGGGGACTCCCTGTCCTTCCTGTTGACATGCCCTGTCGACGGCAAGGACCAATGACTAGAACCGCCTGAGGAGACAGTGCCAGGTGGGCGTACTTTTCCAGTCCGGTAAAATACTATTTTTCTATCTCCATTCAGAGATGAGCATCAGGACTTCAAGGACGAGCAGTTGCGTCTAAAGAAGCTTCGTGGAAAGGGGAAGCCAAGGAAGGGAGAAGGGAAAAGAGCCACGAAAAAGAAGTAGCGTCGGCCCGTCAGAGAGAAGCCTTCCTCCTCAGCGGCTGCGAGCAGAGGAACGTGGCCTGTGCCTTTTCTTCCCGGAGCTTATTTATGCTCTTTGAGGGGCGCACACCTCCTAAGCTGACAGTTATCTGGAGGAACTGTCATCTCCATGTTCAAGCCTGACCCCGTTTAATTGTGATGGGTTATTTTGAACACATTCTAATTCTGAACCATTATTTTGGCCTTGGTTTACCTCATTCTCTAAAGAAACGAATGCATAAGTTATTGTCGAATGGCTTGTTTGGGGTGAGCGGGATGTTGGGGCAATAGAGGGGAAACTCATTATGTAAGCACCCCGCAGCCCCATCGCTGCTTCCTCTTGCTCCCCCCATAACCAGCCCTCAGGCTTTCGTCTCTCTGGCTGTTCAGCCACTGTCTCCACCACCAGCCTCACAAACTTGATGCACTTCTCCACCTACTCCTTTGAGAGTATCCACTAGGATAGATTTGTGGGCTAGAAGGCTGTAGCTAGTAAGAAAGTATTGAGTACCTGCTGCATAAAAGGTACTGACTGGGGCCCTGGTAAGACAGCGATGAGCAAGAGAAACAGTCTCGACCTGGTGGAACTTTAGTCCTGTGGGAGAGACTAATGTTATGCAATTACATAAATACAATGGTAGTAAATGCTACGAAGGAAAGACCCAGAGGGTGCATGGACTGATGGATTGATCCAGAGATAGGGTAAGAGGCTCAAACCTCAGGAGGGAGTTTAAGGAAGACCTCCCTAGAGCGCTGATATTTAAGCTGGCTCTAAAGGATGAATGAACATGAGTGAGGCAGAAGGAAAATGATGGGGAAGGTGTTTGAGGCACAGAGAATGCCTAAAATAAAAAAGTCCTGTTCAAGGAATTGAAAAAAGAGCACTAACTAATACTGGTTGGTCATAATAAAATAGGCCAGACCGTGAAGGTCTTTGCAAATTCTGCGACAAAGTTGGACTTAACCAACTGAACCAAAGATCAGCGTGCATAAAAGGTTATTTCTATGAGAGATGACTTAGTTACATTTGAGCAACCAGCTGATCATTTTATTCTAACAATGAGCTTCTGGTGAAATGAAGGCTTCTCTGATTTTTTTTTTTCAAGCGTTGCTCTGACAATCACTATCTAATAAAGTTTTTAAGTACTTTTTATTGTAAAAAACAATTTATCATCATAATCATTTTTAAGGTGGCAAAGTCAAAATCAAAAGTGGATGTAACACGTTGGAGTTTAAGTAAAGGAGGAGATTAACTCACACACATTTGATTTACACACAATCTTTTAGAAATACATTCATTAATGTAAAACTTGGGGTAACTGTCGATTCTGTTTTTTCTTTGGACCTCTTCCTTTCATTTCGTCTTTGTTCTTAGCTCTTGGTGGGAGACCACTGGGAGTAAAAACATGAATTTATTTCCCAGTGGCATGGACGTACACTTGTCCATCACTGTGACTCCATTAAGGCGGTACCAGTTGGAGGAAGTGCTCAGCCCACCTGCATCAGGCTGGGATGCGGCCCAGGCATCAGCATTTCCAACAAGTGCTCCCGGATGATTGATGTGCACTCAAAAGCATGAGAATTGCTATCTTAGGAATTCTGATGGAGCCAAAATTGAAAGAAACCCTGGTTCCAAGATACTTAGCGATCCACAAAATGCAAGCGTCCAAATGACCTTGTGCCTGGGAATGTATCAAAGATGTCTTGAGTCAACTTGAAATTGTGATGTCCTCATCAGTGATTTTCAGCCTCTGGTTTTATAATTCTCTCCAATAAGCCTACATATCTGATTTTATTCTCAGTGAGTCTGGCGTTAATAATTGCTTATCATCCTAGTATGACCGTGTATGATCTTGTCTCTGCAGCGGTCTCTGGGAGGGGTATATGTTCAAGGATACAGAGGTGGTAAGGATATCCCACTCCCTGGGTGCTACATTCCAGCCACGTGGTCTGCTCCAAACTATCTGTGCGGGTTGTAAACCTCACCACAGAAACGAAGGCATGACTAGAATTATTGTTGTGAAAAATAATCATTTGATCTTTCCTCCTTCATTAATCTTAAGAAGTCTCCCCACTGCATTTCACAACCAGCATTAATAGCAGGGAAGATGAAAGTGAAAACAGACTCAGTGATCTCATTGGAAGGCAGTCTGTCTTTGGCACCACAGGTGGGCCCCTCCAGGAGTCTTTTTGCCACATCGCCAAAACCACTCACTGGTGCCAGCACCCCAAGCAGGTTAGGGCAACTGGGTGATGTGTGGAAAAGAGGAATAAAAGTCAGTCTAGATCATCCACTCAACTATGACCACCCAAAAACATGATTTATGGTCCAATGTTCTGCAAAGAACAGCTTCTATGATAAAAGATCATTTTTTTATAAAGGACATTGTCATGAATTCAAAACACAGTATCCCAACTGATGCAGCTATTTCTCACTAAAGATTAAACACCTGAGAAAGCATCAAAGTAACTCCAATGGTAATTTCGGTTATGTTTTTCTAATTGTTATTCTGCAGGAACTCCAATCAGTTTTAAATTTGTGAGTCCTGTGTTCCCTGATTTCCTTTCTACCTCCCCTCACAGACCCTCAGACTAAGGAGTTCGCCACCGCCCTGCTGCATGCATCCACCAGAACTGACCGGGCCTGCCTGAACCTTTCCCTTACCTTTCCTGCTGTGCTAGCTCCCGTGTCACCTGAACAGGTGACCCTGATGAGTCACCCCTGATCTAGGCTTGTTCAGGTACAATGCAGAATCTTTCTGAAAAGACACCCTAAAAAGGAGAAGCTTGTAATACTTTTTATTAACTTGCTCATGACAGATAAATTTCTCCATCTTGCTCCTAGGTTGAGCCAACTAGCCGGCCCAGCTGAAGTAGACAATAATTTACAATGTTAGAGCCTTTTTACTCAAAGTATGGTGCACGGACCACCCCCCAGGGAGCTTGTTAGAAATACAGAATTGCAGGCCCATCCCAGAAATGAATCTGGATCTGCGTGTTAACAAGATCCCCAGATGGTTTGTATGCACAGGAAAGTGGGGCAAGCATGGGCTTAGATTTGTATTGATCTTCAGAGTCCTTAGAGGTCACAGGTGTACCATGGACCCAAATGCAGCATTTCTACATTTACTCATGCAATTCATTATTCAATCTGGAAATGTCTTCCAAAATAGCTCATCAACTTGGCAAACTCTTACTCATTCTTCAAGGCCCACTCCAAAGATCACATCATTGAAAGCTTCCTGATGCCCTGAATCAAAACTAATCATTCCCTCTTCTGTATTCTCTTGATACTTTACATCTATATCCAGTATGTACCAATATTATAGAGTCTTCATACCAAACTAGATGCTCATGGCTGTGTCCCCAACAAGAATATGAATTATTGAAAGGCAAAGAACATACCTTATTCATCTATGAGGTCAGATAATTAGATTTGCAAACTCATCCTAGAAAAAGTGCTACATACTTATTGCTGAATATCACTATGGTTACCTTCTAATTACACCCCTCGGGCACCTATGCACCCACACCAGTTGCCTAGTCCACCCTTCAAAGCAGTATTGGAACTCTTTCTGGAATGGCCATCAGAGCTGTCGTATTACCTTTGATGTCTTGAATGTCATCAGAATGTCTTCTCAATATTTCCTTTATCTTCAGGTAAAGAAAGAAGTCATTGGGGGCCAGATCAGGTGAGTAGGGAGGGTGTTCCAATACAGTTATTTGTTTACTGGCCAAAAACTCCCTCACAGACAGTGTTGTGTGAGCTGGTGCATTATCATGATGCAAGAGCCATGAATTGTTGGCAAAAAGTTAGGTTGTTTTCATCCAACTTTTTCACACAGCCTTTTCAGCACTTCCAAATAGTAAACCTGGTTAACTTTTTGTCCAGTTGGTACAAGTTCATAATGAATAATCCCTCTGATATCAAAAAAAGTTTAGCAACATCGCTGCAACAAGTTCAGGAATCTAATTGTCAGACCTCATATGTTCCCCAGCACCCAGCCCAGGACTTGGAACAAGGCTCAATAAATGTTACATGAAAAATACCTTTTGATCTTTCCTTCCATTGTTTTAGAGTCATGTAACATTATGCCACCTGACAATTTTCACATTGTACCATATTATTCTTGAAAAACTAGTAAACTATTCATATCTGTTGATTTACAGTAATGACACAAAAATATTTCCATTGGCCTGGAAAGCATCTCAGAGCCTACGTTTCATTGGGATAACTATTTCCGACCCCTTTCCCTCACACATACTCCTCTTCCACATTATAACACACCTATTGCTGGCGAAAAGCCAGTTTGTACAGCAGATACTTTTTTGGGGGGGAATAGGTGGTATAGTAAAAGGAATTATTATATGTATTCATTTATAATAAGCCTGCCTTGGTACCTCTGATATTTTTTTACAGATACATAAACTGATATCACTGAATCGATTGTGAGTAAAAGGCAAGAAAACAGTAAAGGAAGTAAAGTAGAAGATGAGTAGTGAGTGATCCAAGAGTCACAATAATTAATAGCTGTATTCTTAAAACAAACACACCAGAAAACATGCAGGTGATTATGGGGCACTTAGAGAGTTGGCATAAATCCTCAGCTTAACAATGAACTCTTGAAAGACTAGACTGTATGTGGGCGTGTACCAGCCCGCATGAGATAACACACAGTCCGAGACGTTCACTGGCAATATACAAGGGGCAGTTCTCACTGCTCTGTGCCGGTCAGCGATGCACAGCTATAAGCAGCCCGTGGTTCTTAAGGCTCGTCCAAATGGCTCACAGGCTGGTCTTAGTCATTGTTCACATTTATTGTGATCGTGTGGTTCTGGCAGTGGTCATTAAAAAAGACTATTTAGGTGAACTATTGCTTTCTAAAGTGGCCCTTGCAATATTTATCAAGAGGTTAAATATGAATATTCTTTGACTCAGGAATGCCATGTGTCTGCAGCATAGAAATACAGATACAAATGGACATTTTTGTATCATTGTTTCTATAGAAAAATAGGAAACAATCTACATATTCATCAATAGGAAAGTTATTAAATAAGTTGTACTACATTCATACCCTGGATATTATACAACTAGTTTTTAAAAAGAGATACATATAAAGATGTACTAACATGGAAAGTTGTCAATGATATAGCATTAAAAAGATCAAGTAGCAGAAATTCTATTATAGCATTATATTATCAAACTGCTTAAAAATTTTGTGTAGGATCATATATACGGCCACATA